AAAATATATATTATATGTATATAAAATATTTATAGTTTTGATAATAAATATATATACATATATATAATTTATATATATAATATAATATATTATTATTTTTAAATAATATAATATATATATAATATATTAGTTTAAAAAATACATATTGTAAATAATATATATATATATATTTAAGTAAAGATTCGAAATTACATATATAATATATTTTATATATTGAAAATATGTTAAATCAATATATATATATAAATAAATACTAAATGTATATATAATAAATAAATAAAAAATAAACTAAATATAAGAAAAATAATAAATGAAATTTGAAATATTTGGAATATTTGGAATATTTGAAATATTTGAAATATCTGAAATATTTAAAATATTTGGAATATTTGAAATATTTGGAAATATTTGGAATAATTGAAATATTTGGAATATTTGAAATATTTGAAATATTTGGAATATTTGAAATATTTGAAATATTTGAAATATTTGAAATATTTGGGATATTTGACATATTTGGAATATTTGAAATATTTGAAATATTTGAAATATTTGAAATATTTGAAATATTTGAAATATTTGGAATATTTGAAATATTTGAAATATTTGGAATATTTGAAATATTTTGGGGGAAATATTTGTAGATATGAAAATAATTAAAAATGGGAATATGAACACTCAAATATTGGAAATATTTGAAATATTTGAAATATTTGAAATATGGAGGGAAAAATATGAATTTGAAATATATTTGGTGAAAATATTTGAAATATTTGAAATATTTGGGATCTTTGAAATTTTTGAAATATTTGAAATATTTGAAATATTTGGAATATTTGAAATATTTGAAATATTTGAAATATTTGAAATATTTGGAATATTTGAAATATTTGAAATATTTGAAAATAATTGAAATATTTGGAATATTGAAAATATTTGCAATATTTGAAATATTTGAAATATTTGGAATATTTGAAATATTTGAAATATTTGAAATATTTGGGCTATTTGAAATATTTGAAATATTCGGAATATTTGAAATATTTGAAATATTTGAAATATTTGGAATATTTGAAATATTTGAAATATTTGGAATATTTGAAATATTTGAAATATTTGAAATATTTGAAATATTTGAAATATTTGGGATATTTGACATTTTTGGAATATTTGAAATGTTTGAAATATTTGAAATATTTGAGATATTTGAAAATAATTGAAATATTTGGAATATTGAAAATATTGGAAATATTTGAAATATTTGAAATATTTGAAATATTTGAAATATTTGAAATATTTGAAATATTTGAAATATTTGAAATATTTGAAATTTTTGCAATATTTGAAATATTTGAAATATTTGAACATAATTGAAATATTTGGAATATTGAAAATATTTGCAATATTTGAAATATTTGAAATCTTTGGAATATTTGAAATATTTGAAATATTTGAAATATTTGGAATATTTGAAAATATTTGAAATATTTGGAATATTTGAAATATTTGGAAATATTTGAAATATTTGAAATATTTGAAATATGTGAAATATTTGGGATATTTGACATATTTGAAATATATATATTTGGAATATGTGATACTTCTGAAATTTTGTTTTTTTTTTAACGTTTCAATCCTTTCAAAACTTCTGTTCTGCTAAAGTTCTTGAACTATATAAGTGAAGGTAAAGCATGTTTTTTAAAGAACAAAATGCAAGTAGATCACAGGGCCGCCTGTTGCCATATATATATATGTCAGGTTATACTTATATGGCGGTTTGGGTTGGTGGTTTGGAAGTCTGGGAAATCAGAGTTATGTGCAAAATAGATTTGAAAAATGTGTTTTTGTTTTGTGTGTTTTGT